CCCCCAGGCATTGTACAGCACCCTGGGTGCTAGAGGGACCCCCTGGGTGCTGTAAGGGGTGTTGTAAAGACCCCCAGGGTGCTATAGGGGCCACTTGGGTTCCATAGGTACCTCACCAAGCACTGTGCGCACCCCTGGGTGCTATAGGGGCCCCTGGATGTTATAGGACACCCCCCAGGCATTGTACAGCACCCTGGGTGCTAGAGGGACCCCCTGGGTGCTGTAAGGGGTGTTGTAAAGACCCCCAGGGTGCCATAGGCACCCCCCAAAGCACCATACAGATCCCTGGCTGTTCTAGGGACCCCCTCCAGGCACTGTACAGCTTGCTGGGTGCTATAGGGATCACCAGGCATTATAGGGACCTGCGCATGCTATAGGGACCTTTAGGCGCTACAGGGACCACAAGGCAACCAACATACAGCCTTCTGGGTGCTATAGGTACCCCTAAAGTGTTATAGGGAGGCCTGGGTGCTATGGGGACCCCCGGGCACTACAGGGACACCCTGGGTGCTATAGGGACCCTTAATTGCTATAGGGATCCTCCGAGTGCTGTAGGGACCACCAAGCACTGTACAGCTCCCATATGGGCTATAGGGACCCCCACGGCATTAAAGGGACCATGAGGCAACATACAGACCCCCTGGGTGCTATAGGGGCCCCCAAGCACTATAGGAACACCCTGGGTGCTATAGGGACTCCCAGGCAATGTACAGTCTCTTTGGTGTTACAGGGACCCCTAGACAACATAGGGGTGCTATAGGACCCCCAGGGTGTTATAGGAAGGCCTGGGTGCTATAGGGACCCCCAAGAACTCTACAGCCCGCCCTGGGTGCTATGGGGACCCCATGGCACTGCAGCGACCTCCCCAGTGCTATAGGGACCACCTGGGCCTCAGGTCCAGCACCCTATAGGGCATGGTGGTCTCCATGCCCTGACCCTATAGGGCATGGTGGTGCCCAAGGGAGAACCATGGGGTCTGAGGGGTCCCCGTGGGGTGGAGTTGGGGGGGTTTGGGGGACCCAACCACGGGGCCACCTCATGGGGTGCTTCTTTCCACCAGGGCGACTCGGGGGGTCCGCTGGTGTGCAGGGACGAGCTGCAGGGCATCGTGTCGTGGGGCATGCAGGTCTGCGGGCAGCAGGGCAAGCCGGGCGCCTACACCCGCGTCT